TAGTAAAGAGCTGCATAGGTACCAAGTTCACAGGTCAATTTGGGGATTTAATTGCTGTGAGTTTTCCTCTATCTCTTGGGCTAGGATTTCTATTTTTTTGTTTTTCTTTTATATAATTGTTGAGCTGTATGTTTGTTCTGGTAAATGGTTATTCTTTAAATTCTTTTACAATCCAAAGTCAAGATGTCGGCTGTCATCTGTACATTGTTTTTCTCACTAAAGTGTGGTTTGTTTTTTTTGATGAATATGGTTTACTTGATCATTATCTATATTTTTTTTGCTTCTAAATGTGTTTTAAGTTATCTTTAATTAGTTAGATGGGAGGCTGAATTTAGGTTATTTGTCTATGTTCATCAAACTAATATATTTTCTTACATTTATATAGATACGTGAAAACTTAGTTATATAGTGATTTGATTTCATTTAGCTCTTGCTCTTCAGTTTTGTTGTTTACTGCTTGAGTGAATAGGTTTTAAACCTGATGATGCTTGATTGTTGAAAATTATTATATCCTTCTGCTATTGGCATTTCTGGATCTGTTGAGTTATGTATCATATATTCTTCCTTGGTTACTTCCAGGATTTAGCTATTGATGCTACTGCAACAGTAGGTGTTGAGATTGGCCAAGGTTTGAGAGATGTAGATATTAAAAATTATATTAAGGTTGAAAAGGTCCCTGGGGGGCAGCTGGAGGATTCTAGAGTACTCAAGGGAGTTATGATAAACAAAGATGTGGTTGCACCTGGCAAAATGAGGAGAAAGATTGTTAACCCACGCATCATTCTTCTTGATTGTCCCCTTGAGTATAAAAAGGGTGAAAACCAAACAAATGCTGAACTGCTCAAAGAAGAAGACTGGAATCTCTTATTGAAGATGGAAGAAGAATATATTGAGGAGATGTGCATGCAGATACTGAAGTTTAAGCCTGACGTGGTAATCACGGAGAAGGGTCTGAGTGATTTGGCTTGTCATTATCTGAGCAAGCATGGAGTTAGTGCAATCAGGAGGCTGAGGAAAACTGATAATAATAGAATTGCTAAGGCATGTGGTGCTGTTATTGTGAATAGACCGGATGAATTGCAAGAATCTGACGTTGGTACTGGTGCTGGGTTATTTGAGGTTAAGAAAATTGGAGATGAGTACTTTGCATATATTGTTGATTGTAAAGACCCCAAGGCCTGCACCGTACTACTAAGGGGAGCTAGTAAGGATCTTTTAAATGAAGTTGAAAGAAACCTACAGGTAAGCTATTCAGATGTTCTAGGAATTTAGATTTTATCATATCATACTGCTTACAGAAACTTTTTTTTTTCAGGATGCCATGTCTGTTGCAAGGAACATAATAAAAAATCCAAAACTTGTTCCTGGAGGCGGTGCAACAGAGTTGACAGTGTCAGCTGCCTTGAAACAGAAGAGTTCTTCTATCGAGGGCATAGAAAAAGTGAGTTTATTTTATATGAACTAGTTGCCGTACTGCTTTATATTAGGTGGATTGTAGTTCTGTCTCTTATCTGTTGCAGTTTACACTGGTTCTCACCTAAGATTCTTGTTGACTAACAGTGGCCGTATGAAGCTGCTGCCATTGCTTTTGAAGCTATACCACGTACTCTGGCACAAAATTGTGGAGTAAATGTCATCCGGACTATGACTGCTCTCCAAGGAAAAGTAAGAATAGTTTAGTAGCACGTGTATACTGTCTTTTCTATGAAGGTCTGATAATGTTTAACGTTGTGTTCTTGAAAATACTAGCACGCAAATGGGGAAAATGCATGGATTGGTATAGATGGAAATACTGGTAGCATCACTGACATGAAAGAGCGCAAGGTACTTCACTTTCATCCTATTCTGTTGCATATGCATATTGTAAATGGTACCAAAAACTGCCATTTGTTATTTGCCTGCTGGGAGTTATTCACATTAGACTTAGGAATTAACATTTCAGTTATTTCCAGAAGAGGGAACAAAGTGAGAAACCCTGCGTTTATTTCATTAGCAGAATAGTCATTATCTTGTTGTATTCTTGCTTCCCTCCTGAAATTTGCCACCTTATCTTGTTTCAAAGTTTTAGCAAGTGAACTCAAAATGTTCTGCTCTAATGTGATGTTTAGATCTGGGATGCCTACAATGTAAAGGCGCAAGCTTTTAAGACTGCCATTGAAGCTGCTTGCATGCTTCTGAGGATTGATGATATAGTGAGTGGTATCAAGAAGAAGCAGGCCCCTGGAGGTTCAGGTTCTTCAAAACCCAAGATTGAGACCGAGGCAGATGCTGACAATGAACAAATCCTTCCTGACTGAGAATATAGGTTCAATTGACACTGCTTTTTGATTCAGTTGATCACATACTAGGTTCTTGGTCCTCATTAAATATTATCAATATTCTTAGAAGTTCTGGGTCCTTGACTGGGCTGGTTTTTTGTGCCTTGTACTGTTTGCAAGAGCGATTTGTGAACCGTAGTTTATTTTAAAGACTATTAACTGGCTTATGATTTATTGGGTGTTTTAGGTCTACTGTTGAGATTTTGTGGCGGGGTCAGACATACCAGTTTCACCAATTTTGTTGAGCTGTTTATTGTTTCTGTTCCTATTCGTTTGTGAAACGTTTTTTTACATACACGCACTTCCTTATAACTGTTAAATTGTGGTGAAATTTTTTATTTTTTTCTGATAAATAGTGTTCGATTTCTGAAAATGCAATTGCATGAAAGCTGTCCTCTGCCACTGTAACAATGATGGAAGGTGGTAGCCGATTAGCTCATCTGTGATTATTTGATTACCACGCCCTTTAGAAAATTAGCAAATTAAAAAATGTTTTAAATGGATATATATTAAATGTAGCGAAAAAATTTGCAATTTAATTAAGTAGTGGAGTTTCTTTTTATCGTCTAATCATCAATTATTCTGCCTATGAATCATAATCTAATTATTGTTTAGTGATATTAAAATTATTTTTAGGGTTAAATATGTTTAGTTTTTTAACTATCAAGTGATTTTATTTTGTTTTTTTTTCAAATTTTGGTACACGTTAGATCCTTATTTTTAATCCTTATTTTTAAAGAAACTATAGTTTTTCGTCTTTCAAAACTAACGCAGTTAGAATTAGGTTGAGTTGGGTCAAACCAAACCACATGCCACCCCAATCTGCTAAGCCAACCCACATCTGGGACTCCACAGCCAACCACTGCAACACTCTGGCAGCACCCAACACCACCATTGACTACACTAGTGCAACCACCACAAGGTTCCAGTAGTGCAACCACCATGAGGAACCCATAACTACAAGAAGAGACCCAAAACGCGGATCAAAAATCCAAAATTCTTTCGAACTCTAACTTTCTAAATCGCATCATCAAGAACACAAAATTTTTCAAAAACAGAGCCTAAACTGCAAGAATCAGAAACCCAAAATCTCTAATTCATGACCATCAATTAGCAGAGAAGATTAGATGAATTAATTACAACCTTAAATCAATAATTAGAACCCCAAAATTTTCATTTCCAACCCTAGTCCCATCAATAGTCCAAAACTTACGAAAGAACAAAAATCCAATTCGAACCACACCCAAAGTCGCGAACCAAACGCAATTTCACTTTGCCGTGAAGACATTGGAGCACTCGTCGTCGAGAAGAAAGCATCGCGAACCGCAGTCCAGCGCCTCATCGCCACCAAGCCACACAAACCCTCAGCCCAAACTAGTTCCATCATCTGATTCCTACCTCCAGCTCCGAAGTCGTCGCCTCCAGAACCCTCCGATTTTGCTGCACTCTTCAAGGCGGAACAAACACCCGAACCCTAAATCTGCAATCCCTGAACCTACCTGGCTCGAACTCGCTTCGGAGCACGACGCTGCGCTCACAACGTGCAACCACAAGGAGGAGAGTGCTTTACATGAGAATGTTGAGGTCCATGATAGAGATCTTCACATATCTCTTCTTCTGTTGTTACCGAACGGTGGAAGGCGGGAAGAAGCAGAGTGGTGAGGGAGAAGAAGACAGGAACCGAAAGACTGAAGACAAGAACCGAACGCTAAAGACTACCAAACGCCTGAAGGCAGTGTAGCTACCGAACGGTTGAATGCTACCGAACGGTAGAAGCATGAAAGTCGATCGGTTGCAGTGTTTTAGTATCTTATTAAATAGTTTGTTAATTCTGTTTTTATTTTCTCTTTGTATATATTCTTTGCTTCCGCTGTAACTCAATATACTTTTACTTGAATTCATTCACTATTATTCTTTTCTCTAGAGCTCTTTCGCTTCTCTCTTTCTCAAACACTTACATGGTATCAGACCGAACGGTCTCTTCCTGCCTTCCACTGTTCGGTAACAACAGAAGAAGGGATATGTGAAGATCTCTATCAGTCCAGGAAGCGTTGTTTGGGGAAAATGTTTTGGATTTTGAAGGTAGAGATAGGTGGGTATTCGTTTCCTTTTTCAAATTTAACTCGAAATTGTTTTCGATTTTTGAACTATACTTTTTCCTGCCACGATAATCAGAACTAGAAAGAATCTGGAAAGAAGAAGAGAGTTTCCTGTAAAACCCCAACCCAAGACCAGAGAACAAGTCGAAGGACAACACTTTCCCTGAGAACAGACCAAACCGAAAAAGAGGAAGGAAAAAGGGTATCTCCTTTTTCTAACCCGCGACCTCCCTGGGAGAGAAACCCTTGTGTTCAACGTCAGATGCAAGGAAGGAGATAGAGGGAGAGGGAGAGGAGAATAAGATTGACTTAGTGTCAGAAAAAGAAAAAATGACGTGGCAATATCTTAGCCAACTCAGCCTAATTCTAATGGGTGTTAGTTTTGGAGGACGAAAAATTATAGTTTTCTTAAGGACAAGGATCAAAGTGTACCAAAGTATGAAAGAGGAACGAAAAATAAAATCACTTGATAGTTGAGGAACTAAAAACATAATCATTATTTTTACTGTGAATCTTTGTATTGATAGTGTATCAAAACTAATGTGGATATTAAACATTATTTATACGTATATTTCTTGTTTTAATAATGTGATATAATAATGATTCGATGGTATACTAGAGCACCATTACTTAAAATTCTGATTTGATTAAATTAGGGCAGTTTCTTCCCATGCAATTTCAATTTGCAACGAATTTTTGTATGATAGATTGTGTAATTTAAAATTATTTGAAATGTATAATTTAAGTTGTACTTTTTATTTTATAATTTAGAATGTATGATTTAAAATATAATTTTATATTTTAGAATATATTTTTTTTTTATTTTAGAATATATAATTTAAAATAATATTTATAATACATTTTTTTATTTATACTTATTAATGCACGATTTGAAATCTAGATTTAAAATATGAAAATTTATAGCAACGCAGGTTGAAATTATAGAGGTGTAGGAAGAAATGGTGGAAAATACTGCCTTTAAAACAACCCAATTTTTTCCACTTAGTTATTTTCATTTAGGTGTTTCTTGCACTTCGTCAAATTTCTTCTTCCATCCCATCAAAATTTTACGCTGAAAAATTAAAACCATTTTGTTCCATTAAACCATTTTGTTCCTCCGTAAATTCAACCATCCGATAATGTAAATTTTGTATGCTATGATTTAAAATATACTTTTTATTTTATATTCTAAAATATATAATCTAAAATATAAATTTGTATATTTTAAAGTGTACATTTCATACAATACAAATGGTACATTTTAGAAAATAAAAATTTATGAAAATGCAGATTAAAATTACGGTGTCGGACTAAATGACCAAAAATACTGTTTTAAAAACAGCTCAAATTTCCCAACCATGGATTATTTTCATTTACATATATAATTGTAATTTTCAATAGCCCTGACGGTGTTGGAGCTCCAATAACCAATTCATAGTTGCCAAAATGTTAAAACCAGATTATGTTCTGCACAATTTTAATCAGCCAAAAAGTTGCTTTGTTCAGAGTTTAGTGCATGGACTTGTTATAAAATAACGTAGAATATGATTGCCTTGAGTTATTTAAACCGCCAACACGAGGGGATTACGCAATAACAAACACCATACATGCATTTGATCCGTGTATCACTAAGATCACCAGATATTCCATGATATCAGAGTTAATGAAAAGTACAACCAGATGGGAACATATATATGTCCACAATACAAAGGAAACTATCGCCAAAACTTATATCTTAACAATCAGCAGTGCAATATCTTGTTGCACAAAACATAACATCATTACTAAGACAGTTCAGACATAGGTATCAACGAGGGATTTCCTCATCTCGTCCACAATGGCACTAGGCTGAGCTTCTCTCAGCTTGAAAACACTCTCAATTACAGATAGCTCTGTTGCAGTGGTGTCTGAACCACAAAATGCTGTCCAATCATTAACTGTCATTCCAGCTGCTATTACTTCACTGCCCCGGTTAACGGTCCCAGCCACCAAAGGAACCTGAAGAAGTGTAGAAAGCTCATCCAGGTCTTCTATGGAAGTATGAGGGTGAACCTGCATCGAGTGTATGGTCAAAAGACAGGGTATATAGATGTCTAAATTATGAATTTTTAATAGATAATATATTTTACTCACCAAACCACCCCTGTTGGAGAAGGCACAGTAACTACCAACAAGAATGTTGCCTGCTATGGTCTGCCTAAAAACTTCTACTCCAAGAACATCTGCAATCATCTCTTCAGTCTCCTGAACAAAAACTTAATGTTGAATACTCGAGCTAGCCAAGATCTATATATAAAATCACAGATAGATGCAAATAACGATGATGGACTAACAGGGTTTGAAGAAAAAAAACGGATTAATATAAACAAAAAGATCAGTATTTTAATATTGACACCTGAATGGGAAATTACTTCATATGCATAGCAATAAGAGAACATGTTTGGCAGACAAACAAGACTTGATTGGGTAGAGAATTAGCCAGAATAACATCTTAAGTTATAAAGGGATTTGTTTTATCAACAAAAATCAGCATTGGGTTTTATCAACATGTTTGGCAGACAAACAAGACTCGATATAAAGGGATTTGTTTTATCAACAAAAACCAGCATTAGGTGATAAAATCCCTACGCTTTGATACATGCTAAATATCGAGTTGTCAAAATTTAAGGGGCTCAGATTCAGAGATAGCAACATATAATAATTAGTACAACGTATTTCACCTCCGTGCTTCACATGAAAACATAAGTCTCTCAAAATCAATTTCTAATTCTAAATATGAATAAACACCTACAGAAAAAAAAAATTGGTCAACAATAAGGCAACAATACCCTGTCAAGATCAGTGTGTGTGAGGGCCACATGGTCATTACATGCTATACAATTCCCCAGAGCAGATAGCCTTTCGTCAATACGTTGAACAACAACTTGATCAGGTAGACTGTTTCTCAAATGCTGAAGTTCTACAGAATTAACAGAGACAAATAAATCAAATACCATAAGTCAGTATATCATTACTAGAGCGGAATTATATACTGCCAAAAAAAAAGGTAAATTACTTAAAAAAATGTAATGTCAATCCAGAAATCCTATCTTCGGGTCTCAACATACAAAATTTGTACAAACAAAGATATATAATACTGTCAAAAACCCAGTGAAAAATGGGAACAAAAATAATTAAAGGCATAGAGACTAGAGTGTTGATAAAGATG